TTTAGCCCAACTTTTGTTCCCAAGTACAGTGAAAAGCCCCACCAAAAAGTGAACCGTACAACTGTTGCCACCTATAGGTGGCAAGTGTAGTATATTCATTTTATCGTAATTTCTATGATGGACACTATACAAAGGAAATGACAGTGTTATGTAGAACCCATGCAGTCTTCATCAGGAATCTTTACTAGGTTTGTTATTAATATTAACACTTTTGTTGTGTGATTCTTATTTCAGATGCTCCCTTTAAAGGTAATATGGGCTGATAGATGTGAAGTTCTTTTCCAGGATAGATGTTAAGAGCTTGGACTCTGCAGGCAGACTGCCTGGATCCAAATCCAGATCCCACCAGGAAGTGCTCCATAACCTTAAACAAGTTACTTTCTCTAGCCTTGATTGCTTGTAAGCGGGGAGAACAATGATACCTTATGCCATAGTACTGATGGGAGAATGAAAACAGATAATCCATGCAATGTGCTTAGCCAAGCATCTGTGCAGAGCAGGCACTTAATTGTTGTTGCTGTTGTTGTTCAGTCACTCAGTTGTGCCCCACTCTTTGCGACCCCGTGGACTGCAGCACGCCAGACTCCCCTGTCCTCCCGGAGCCTGCTCAAACTCAAGTCCATTGATTTGGTGAGGTGATACCATCCAGCCATCTCACACTCTGTCATCCCCTTCTCCTCCTGCCTTCAATCTTTGCACGATCAGGGACACTTAATTAAATACTGTTATTACCATGATTAGTTTTCAAAGCACCTTCGCATGCATTTGTTACCAACGGATGTGCGCTATTGTTACCGAAATGGAAGTCCAGCTGCCCACTGCTCTAAAGCCAATAAAGAGGCAAGGCTGGTGGAAAGGGTAGTTTGCTTTATTTTGGAGACCAGCAGCCTACGGAGGGTGAGGGGGGTGGCTGTGGCAGACTCCTGTCCATAGGCCAAATCTGTCCCACTCCCCCAACCCCCTAGACTGTCGGTGGGCTAGAGCATTCACAGGCAGAGGGAGGGGGCTACCTGCAGAATCAACACAGGCAGCTCTGACCGGCATTTTGAAATTGGTCATGGGGTGGTCTTATAAGCATCATCTTGGTTGTTTTATGTACAGTCAGTCTTCAGTTCCAGGGTCAGTTTATTCCCATTTTTTGAAGCCAGTTTATGTCCTGGCTAGAGTCTAGTCATCATGCAGTTAGCTTCTTCCACCAAATAGCGGTTTCAGTATCTATAAGACAGTTCGGATATGGCGGTATCATATGGCTCAGAATATTATCTATAGCCCTTGAGAAAGAACTAAAGGGCTTTAACTTTGCTTACTGACTAGACTATTATGGTTTCATTTGATTGTTTTCCTTTGCTTCTGGATTTTCTCATTTCTTTAATTAAACTTATCCTTTGGCTAAAATTTTTCTACTGACAAAAGACAGGTGGAGGACATTGGGGAGGGGAGTTTGGACCAAAGGGTCCTGTTCTATTTCACTATTTTGTTACCATTCAACAGATCCATCCTAAGCACAGTCCTGTTGGACCTCAATCCCTCCTTATGTTTTAAATTTAAATGTTTTGTGACTTCAAAATTAACATACCTGAGATCTGACAAGACAATGTTGAGGCTGGCTGGGTATACTTCTAATTCAAGGAAGGAAAGTAAGCTACTTCACTGTTTTTATTCTTAGCTGGTAGGACCACTGGAGAAACCAAAGCCAACAGCTAAAACTCTGCTGATGCTAGAGAGAGCTGAACCCATCTTCCATTCTCCATCGAGAATCTGCTGATGGTTAGCATCGGGCTAGATTTTTAGGTTGTGAGAGAAGGCGTATGAGGGGGTCAGCTATTACCTATAAAACAAAATCACTAGCTCAGGAGTTCAAACACTGCAAAGATTACTACTTGACATATGCAGTGGGGGGTTTGTTGTTTTGTTTTTTTCTTAATCTAAGTAAATAATTAAGATTAGAGAACTTTAAATACAAGCAAATATTGTGCCCTTAACTTTAAAATCAAAGATCTGGACCCAATCTGGACTCATGTTTCCGCACGGCACCAATGAGCTAGATCTCAGTAGCTGCTCCTGCCTTTAGCTGAGGCACATACTCTTGAGCTGACCACAGTCCTCACCAGCCCCTACAGCTCCCCAACACCAAGGTCGAATGTCAGTGTCCTCCCTGTCACTCTTGCACTGATGATGTTCTCACAGTCCAGAATATTTGGTACCCACCCCTCATCAAAACTGTGAAAACAAATGGAAGACCGAGAAGGCATGTGATTTTACAGTGGGCCATTCCTTTATTTCCATTGCCTCCTCGGCCAGTGTAGGCTTTTGTTGAAAGAACCAAACCTACAAGTAGGAAACATTTAGAAAACAAGATGCATTGTTTTTGTCCCATAAACAGTGGGTGTTCTCATGTAAATAACCCTTTCCCTCTTGTTTAGTCACTAAGTTGTGTCTGACTCTTTTGTGGCCCCAGGGTCTGTACAGGCTCCTCTGTGCATAGGATTTGCAGGGAGGAATACTGAAATGGGTTTCTGTGTCCTTCTCTAGGGGATCTTCCCAACCCAGGACTCACACCTGGGTCTCCTGCATTGCAGGTAGATGCTTTACTGTCTGAGCCGCCACAGAGGCCTGCAGTTTTATTCATCTCTGTATCCTCAGCACCAAAACCTTCCACCTGCCTCACGATAGCTTCTCTCGTGAGTGTTTATTGAATGAATTTGAGATCCACAATGACCAGAAATAGGCGAGAAAAAGAATTGTGGTTCTTGAATAAGAAAAAAGGGAGAAGATATTCAGGTGAGGAGGAAATTACATTGAATGCCCTTTATTTACCTATATTTAGTATAAGCAAAGTTTTTCTACCCCCTCCATGTATTTTTCACATTGTACTTTATAATTGCTTTTAAAAGAATGCTTAAAATTGGCACAGCATGAAAACGGGCTGCTACATGAAGTTGTTCCTAATTATGGGGCCACTTTTCTGTAATCACCTAGGAATCTCTTCATCAGCCCATCTCTGGTCTCGAGGTAGCCATTTCAGATTGAAAATTAGCTCTGTGAATAGTGCTCCTATGTTAATAGTATAATGAAATAAACACCACTTCAAGGATGATTTTCAAATATTCCCACTGAATTACGCCATTTCCCACAGCAGAGAGACAGATGCTGTCTGAGCCTGGTCTAGGGACACCAGAGTCATCCACTTCTGTGTCCTTTTCTCTTTCTATTAAATATTAACAGACTTCCCAGGTGGCTCAGTGGTAAAGAATTGCCTGCCAATGCTAAGTGACACAGGTTTGATCCCTGGGTCAGGAAGAGCCCCTGGAGAAAGAAATAGCAGCCCACTCCAGTGTTCTTACCTGGAGAATTCTATGGATGAGGAGCCTGGTGGGCTACAGTCCATGGGGTTGCAGAAGAGTCAGACACAACTGATCAACTGTGCAACAACAACAAATTAAATATTTAGCATGTGAGAATTCACAGGCTTTGACTGTGTCCGCTCTTCCCCAGATCCAAATACAGTTTCCTCATTGTACCTTTGACATCTGTCATAGCAATGTTGGGGGAGGGGTAGGGAGTAGAACTGCCTTGTTAGGGCCTCTGACAGGAGCAGTTGAGATGGTTTGGCATATTTGGGTGGCAAAATGACAACAGCAAAAATAACCCATACCGGACACCTTGTCCTTTATTACAAGAGCATGGGAGGTTGCCAGACAGGAATTGCAATCTCGTTCTCCATCACTTGCTGAGCCACCTTGGGCAGGCAACCCGGCCAGTCCGAGCCTTGTTCTCCTCCTCAGTAAAGTGGAGACGTGTGTCGTGCAGGCTTCCCTGGGGGCTCAGGCAGTAAAGAAGCTGCAGACGATGCAGGAGATGCAGGTTTGGTGCCTGGGTCCGGGAAGACCTCCTGGAGAGGGAATGGTTACCCACTCCGGTATTCTTGCCTGGAGAATTCCATGGATGAGGAGCCTGGTGGGCCACGGTCTGTGGGGTCGCAAAGAGTTGTAACTTACAGGTTTGTTGGGGGGTGGAGGGAAAGGCTTATAGATAAAGTACTGTCAGTGTCTTTTACATGGTGGATGCTTAATAAATGGTAGCTACTGTTATTATCTCTAAGGCCTGTTCCTGCGTCCTCCTTGCGTTTTGATGGAATTTTTGCCTGAAAGAGGAAAAGGGGATGAGAGATGTGGTCATGGCTTTAATACTTCCACATTTGTCAGTTTTCATATCTGTGCCTCCGGTCACCTTGGACCTCAGGAACTACTTAAGCAACTGAATATATTCATGTTTACAGAGTTCACCTACAATAATTATCAAATATGACTGCACTGTTTTATGAAGTCCCAGAGACTACCAGCATATAAGTACCCCTGTTTAAATCGGTTTAACTAGAACCTCCTGGAGAAGAGGTTACTGGGGTGCAGAATGCAGAACTGTTAGTATAATTTTTAAGCCCTTGGGCCTTGAAGACTCTATCCCCTCAGACCCAAGATCTCTTTCCAATAGCATAAGACTTGTGAGCAGAAGAAATACACACGTGACAATGCTTCTGACAAATTTAACGTGTACTTAAATTGTGTGGCAATTTAAAGGATTGTATGCCCTTTTATTTAACATAGAACTGTCATTTCTGGCTGCAATTCAATCCCTATCCATATTTAGAAATAGGACAACTAATAATATTTAGGAAAAGAAAGGTGTTTGAAACTTTAAGAAAAAGAAGACACTTTACCTGAACAAATTTCAGATGGATCCATTTAAAATGAAATTAAGTGGCACTTAAATGATTTGCAAATTGGGACCTATTTATCTCAGTAAAATGATTAAAGTTTTGATTTATCTGTAAAATTGGTTTTATTATTACATTAAATTATACTAGAAGATTTGTTAAAAGACTTGTAGGTTCCTTCTATCCTTTTAAATTGTGCTTTATACCGACAAAAATTGAATATTGGCTAGAATAACTTGATTTTGCAAAGAAATATGTTTCTAATATTTTCCTCTTTTTATTGCAGAAATTGAAACAAGTTGAAGAAACAAGAGAAGATCCTGAGAACAGATTATGCAAAATTTCCCTGGAGTCATTCAATAAATATAATGGCAATACTGTGATCTTATTAGGAAAGGAGAAGAACTCTCTGAACAAGGTTGAAGGACAGAAGGAAGAAAAAGAGAAAACTGAAGAGGCCTCTTTGAGTAGCTCCGATAGGCCTGGGGTAGACCACCTGGAATCTTTGAGTGATTCTTTATATGATAGCTTCTCTTCCTGTGCAAGTCAGGGTTCAAATGATGTATAAAGGACTCCCCCCGCCCCATAGTGAGCTGGAAATGGAGCACTGAAGAAACAGGGGTGGGAGGAGCAGGGCAGGTAGAGATGACAACACGTGAACGATCGCAGTACCAGAGCCTACGCTGTCAGACTCAGAGCCAGCAGCCCACTGAGCTTTACTTCCCTGAGAGGGCAATAGAGATCGATTCTATTTGTTGTGTTCCACAAGGATTAAAAGTAAACACACCCAGGATACAGAAGTCTTAATTTTGCACTTTTTTTTTGAATACTTGTACAGAAGTTGTAAATTTTCTTGAAAAAGAAATTATATTTGTAGCAAAAAAAAAAAAAAAATGCCAGCAATAAATTGAATCAGTGCCATGCTCTTGAAATGATGTCCTAAGTCTTAGACGTTGATAATATATTTTTTAAAAATTCCAAACCAAGTTTTTGTTTAGGTCACTGTCTTAGTCCTCAGATTGTGGGTACACTCTGTAAAACGAAAACAGGGCCTGCCAGAAAAACAGAGGGCTCTTGTCATCTCCCTCTCATAATCTCAGTTTGATAGAAACTTCAATTCTAGTGCAAATTCCAAGTTGTTGACAGAAAGATTCAGGTTCTAGCAAGAAGTGTTATCCTGCTTCTATTGAAAACTGTAAAGGAACTCAAGTGCGACACTGATCAGAAGTGATATGTATCAGAAATGATGTAGTTCTATTTTCCCTCCAATCATTTCCTTACACCCGCTTCTACTTAGTGGTTCTCTGTGATTCTCAACATTATTTGTTGATTTTTATCTTCCTGCTCTTTTGATTAAAATCTGATCAATCTATAAATAAAAGCAGATTCCTATTTGCAATGTTCACTTTGTAAAAAATAAGATGATTGGTGCTATGAAAAATGCTTACTTTTAATATCCTTTTTTTCTACAAAGGCTGTTTATATGTAAGGATAAATTCTATTTTAAAGGTTACTGTGTATTTTTTCTAGATGTGAACTATTTATAATTGCTTTTGTACAGGAGCTTGTAAACTAGGCATAACAAATATTTTTAGGATCTGTGGATACTTTAGTACACACTTGTTTCTTTAAAGAGTATTGTATGATCAGTGTTATTTGGTTAATTTGTGCAATTTGTTACATTTGAATTTTGTTGTCTTAAAATTGTGTCTTTCAAACTTCTAAAGATTCTTTTGTTTCATTGCTAAATAAACGTCATATCACAATGGCACGCACTGAAAGCTTAAAAACTTATTCAAGGACCCTTTGAGCCAATTAGTTGTTTAAATCTCACACGTGCTCTAGCTACGAGTTCCCAGAAGAAACAGACTAATAAGCAAATGCCTTATAGTTCCAGAAAGAGTAGTTCAGCCAGCAGTAAGACTGGAGTCTGCAAACTAGCCAGTAATGGTCAAAGCAGTTTTATCTCCCTGAGGGGTTAACCAACCAGAAATGAGAGGAAGAGGTGAGCAAAGGGGGCCCGAGGCAGGTAGGGACCTCTGCGGAGGAATTACCAGAAAGCCGTTTAAGCGCATTTCCAGACACGCTCTGCCGGCAGGACAGGCAAATCAATGATCAGCATCTCGTCCTGAGAGAGCTTCCTCCTAGAGGAGGCCCGAGGTTGAGAGGGACAAAGCTTATGAAGCCCTTTTCACAGAAGTGGATGCTCCCCAGGGACTTGGGAGAGCCACGAGCGGGATTGGGGGCGGGGGCTCCACGGCGCTCCCGGCGGGCTCCCGCACCACCTGCTGCAGGGCTCGGCGGTCAGGACGGCAACTGTAGTCCCGCGGGCACTCCAGGTGGGTTGCTCGGTCGAGAAAGGAGGAATCGACGTGCGGGATTCAGCCAGCAACCGAGTCCTGGGCTGGGAAGGCAAGGTACACGCGAGGACGCGGGTGTATATGCTAATTTCCCATGGCTAGGAGGGAAGTCGAGGTAGCTGCCTGGTCTTTTCGAGCAACGGGATGGAGTAGAGCAACTCCCGTCTTCACCCCGATTTGCTTTCTAGTGGGAGCTCATCTAGGTTTCCCCGGGGTGGCCCTCTCCTGGGCTAGGCTACGAGGGCGGTGTCAGCGCACCCTTCAGCGGTGTGCGCGGCAAATAAACCGAGTGCAGAGCGCGCGGAGCTGGTCACGGACCCCACCACACCCAGCCCACCCCGCCGCAGCTGAATCCAATCCCGGTAACGACCGAGGGGCTTCTAGAAGGAAGAGAAGGCGCGGCAGCATGGGGCACTGTAAAGGGCCTACAGGTGTGCAACTTTGCCAGACGCACTGGAGCGCGCCCCGCCCCTCGCGGCCCCGCGGCCCCGCAGCCCCAGTCCCGCAGGCCGGAGAGAGCCTGCGGCGGCGGAGCCTGCCAGCCCCGGGGGCGCAGGGAAGCGGTGGGGGGCGCGCGCGCCCTTGCAAGCAGAGGGCCTCGGGCACGCAGTCTCGCGACCTCACCTCCCAGGTCCTGCAGACTGCGCCCGGCGGATCCCCGCGGCACCTGCTGCGCCCTCCTCCCGCTGTTCCCTGATCTCCAGCCTCCGGGCCTCGGGGAACTACACGCTCTCTCTACCCCTCTAGGCGTCCCAGTCCCGGGGACGCGCGGAGGCGGGAGGAGAGGGCGAGCGGAAGGGGGTGGGACGTGAAAAGACTGTCCCAGCCTTCCCCGCTCACCACCCCCACCCCAACTCGGCAGCCGTCACGTGGTGCCCGGAGTGGGAGGTGGGGAGAAGAGAGGAGACTTTTTTGGGTGCTCGGGATCGCCTGTAGTTCCTTCATTCTCCGTGGCCAACTCCGGAGACGCCGCGCTCCGCCAGGGAGCTCGAGTCAGAGCAGCGGCGACCCTCAGCCCGGAGCCCCGGCTCGGGCGATGCGGGCGCCGCCGCCGGCACCTGCGGCTCCTCTCGGCGGCGGCGGTCGCCTCGGCGGCAGCAGAGCGGGCCCCAGCAGCCTCGGCAGCCACCGCCGCTGCGGCCCGGACAGCCTCCGCCGCGGTCGCAGCTTCTGATGCGCTTGCTCGCTCCCGGCCCCGCGGCTCCGGGAGGATGTGGGTCCTCGGCGTCGCAGCAACTTTTTGCGGATTGTTCTTGCTTCAAGGTAAGAAAACGAAGCGGCCAGCTGTCCGGCCAGGCGCGCACACCCCATCCACCCGCCGGCCCCTTTGCCCCCCCTGGGCGCCCACCTCCGGTCCTGTGCTGCTCCGGGTTTGCCCAGCGGGAGTTTGGCTGCAGCGAGGGGTGCTCAGAGGCGCTAGATGGGAAGGTCTCCAAATCCCGCGCTGCAGGAGAGGCGGGAGCGGTGGATTGGTGGGACTCTGGCTGCAGATGGTTGGACTGCGCGGTAGAAAGAAGCTAGGAAGGAGGGAGGGTCCGAGCAGCGTGGGGTCTCGGTTAGGGAACTGGGGCGACAGACCGCGAACCCGCCAAGTCGTCGGGCGTCTCTAGCAACCCGTGGGAGTGGCGCCGCCGACAGGTGAGCCGCACGCGGGGCAGCCGGTGGCCGGGGCGCGCCCGGGTTGGGTGGCTGCGCTCGGAGCGCGACCGCTGGGGGGCTGGGAGGGGTTGCGCCGGGTCCGCGGCTCGTCTGCCTGGGAGCCGGGGGAATTGGGTCTGGAAGGCAGCTCGTAGATGCAAGCGGAGCAGTCAGGCTGGAGCGGAGAGAGGTGCGAAACGTCTGACTCCTTCCCTCCAGAGACCGACTTCCAACCCTGCTCTGCAGAGCTGGGACCCCGAGCCGGAGCCCTAGCTAAACGGAGCCGCGAAAGTGGGGCAGAAAGCGGCCAGGGATGCCCGTTCCCACGCCGCGGCCACCCCTGCTGCTTCGGGGGAACAGTCCCGAAGAAAGGTGGGGGACTCGGGGCGCAGCGGCACTTCCTCCAGAGCTTCAGCGTAGGGAGCCTGCGAACCACAGCGCTGGAATGCGGACGCCAAAAATCAAAGAAAACCGAAAAGGCGTCTGCAAAGGCAATCGCAACTGGTGCCAAAATAGCAATTAACTCATTTGTAACCAATTAACAATCAGGCAAATCTTCGGCGTAGACTGGAGCTGACGCAAGTCTCCGGAGCTACTCCGCTCCTAGGCTGCATATTCCTCCTTCCAACTTCCTTGCGGAATGGCCAGGTGTGGTGTCGGATAGGCTCTTTGTTTCTGGAGCGAGGGTCTAAGGGTCGCGAGCAAAATCGCACTTTATCCCGCAGGACCTTCGGCAGCCACGCCGCCCTCTGCTGGCTTCAGCCGCAGCCGCCTTTCTGGGAGCCCCAGACGCGAGCGCGGAAGCGACGCTGGCTGGGGCCAGTGGGAGGGCGGTGGGTTCCTGGGTGGTCCCTGTGAGGCTGGGTCTGAACCCGACTGCGTCTGTCCCACAGGCTTTGCGTTGCAAATTCAGTGTTACCAGTGTGAAGAATTCCAGCTGAATAACGACTGCTCGTCCCCCGAGTTCATCGTGAATTGCACGGTGAACGTTCAAGACATGTGTCAGAAAGAAGTGATGGAGCAAAGCGCAGGTAAGACGCTGGCAGCCCCCTCCTCCTCCTCCCCTCTCCAGCCTGGGCCTCGGTAGGAGTGAGGGGCCATTGCATTACAGGAAAAGATTGACTTTGATATCATGCACACACTGGTTTATCGCGGATTTACTTTTACAATGCTGGGAAGATGGAGAGTTCCAAGTTACTTTAATCTCATTAGAGTTAATTACCAGGGCTTCTCCCCAAGGAACTGGGAAGGGGCTGTGCATTTAAATGAATGGCTCTCCTCTTTATTTACTCCCCTCACCTTCCTCTGCTAAAAGCTGATCGGGAGCCTGGAAAATATATGGATAACCAGCCCTGCTTGGGCAACTAGACAGTAGCCTGTGAGCA